TTATTTTATTATTTTGTTTTCGATGCTGGAATTATATTTTCTTCAATCTTATAAAGGGAAAAGAAATCATTTTCACAAGTGTTCTAAAACGTCGAATAACCATATGACTTTTATAATCCATGATTTGCTTACTCAGTTGTTCCCATTACAAATTTATCTGACGAACAATAACTCAGATTACGTTAAGTGATTAAACCTAGATAAAAATTATGTTTTTATTTTAATCTTCAAATAATGAACATTTCATTATTTAATGTACTACAATTGTTTGTATTTTTATACGTTTTTTTTTTATTTTTTTTTAATTCGTTCCCTGTTAACAAAATTAGTCGTATTATTTTTAAACGCATTTACTTACCTATATTCAACTGATTAATTTCATAATGTTGTAAAATATAACTCAACGCCTATGATCTTGCTATCTCTTTTCTTTCAATGTAAAAACTTTGAACAACAGTTTTTCTAGTCTTTTCTTTTATTTCATCTTTTTTACCTTTTCATTTAAAAACGTTCTATATATTTCTTATTTGAAAAATTGTCAAGACAAAAAATCTTTCAACTCAACGACCTACGACAAGAAGACACAGCTGGGTATAGTCACTTATTTCTTTTTTCCCCGACGTTATTGTAAGTTTCTCGTTTTACGAATGTTTCGAATGAATTAATTGAAATAATGAAGTTGTGAAATGAATTTGTTGAATCTTGAAACATTTGTTCTCTGTTGAATAAAAAGTTTGACATGAATGTTAGGCTGTGTTGAGTCATTGAACATTAATAATAATTTCTCTTAATATTGATAGATTTAACTTATAATGTTCTTAGTTTAATTTAATATATATAATTAGGATAAGTTTAAAGAAATTAATTTATAGCAGAAAAAAGATATGATAGTTATGAAATTAAGATTAATCGCTGGAAGCTTGTCCTAATTATAAGCAACAATCATGTGCGTGTGTGCTTATATGTTATTAGAATAATGATGTTGGTGATATTGTAATATAATAAAATAGTAAAAATAATTATAATTATGGTAATGAGTGTAGTAATGTCTATGGGAAAGATTAAACGTAAAAATTTACATTACTTCGTATTTTTCGTATGGAAGTTTTTATAATACTTTAGAAAAAACGTTGAAAAAAAAAGAAAAAAAGAAAAGAAAGAACTTTGATTAAAATTAAATAGAACCAATTATGTCTGTCTTTCATTTTCTTTGTTATCATTTTTCATTAAGATAAATAGAAAGATAATTTCTGTTTCTCCAACGAAAAATATTCTCTAGTTTTGTAACTTGGTAACTCTGCAATTACTATCGATCGATTCTCGAATTGTTCTCTCGATACCTCAATGAAAGTGCAACTACGTGCGAAGAAAATAAAGAAATAATTGAAATAAAAGAAAGAAAGAAAAAAAAAATTGCGTTAAGAGAAAATGGAATTACGTTAGATTGACAGATGGGTAAAAGCCATAGCAATGAATGGACGTGTTGGTACGGCCAACATGAGAATGATAGATGCGAAATGGCCTACGGCGTGACACGATTTGTTCTATACCTTTTCAATGAAACAAATAGGTGTGTAATTTAAAGCATTCGATCAATTAGTTTCAATGGATCGAAAACGTATTTTGTGAGTTATTTTCTTTTTTTTTTCTTTTTGCAAAATGTATAACCAATTTTGACGCATGTCACGTAAAACATTTGTGGAAGTTATGTTTTTCAAAATTAAAAATTATATAAATAAATAACAGAAGTTTAAATGAAAACTTAAACAATATAAACAAATTAAAGAATATACTTTATAAAAGAAATTACAAGATCAAGTAAAGTGAAATGTTCAGTAGGAGTCATTTTCCTAGAGGTTTCACTTTATATGAAAGAAACATATTTTTGCAAATGGGTTAAAGAATAAAAGAATTTTTTTTTCGAATATACCGAAAGGATGAAAGGATTGTGATCAAAGAAGTAATATTATTAATGTTACTAACGAACAAGAAAAAACTAAAAGCGAGAGAGAGAGAGAGAGAGAAAGAGAATGAGAGAAATACAAGACAAGGTAATAACTTATGCAAGTGAAATTCAAATGTCTAGCCAGACCGAGATTTGATTTGTTTCTAGAATACGAATGTAAATCTTTGGTATCGTTAGTGGCCTTGGAAACTAGCTATCTAAACATGACTTGCATCTCAAGTGAAATAGCCATTTACTATCTGAGTTCTCGAGAATATCTATTTCTTCTTTTTCTTATCCACAATCAGCAAAATAATGCACCGAATTTAGAATCATGACTGTGCTACACGAATCATTCCATCACAAACTTCTTTCGCAAGAAAATCAATATAAGAAGTACAAGAAATCTAACAATTTTTCTATGCAATTTGATTCATTAATTATTATTTAAAAATTAAAATCAAAATGTTAATTCCATATTTTCCTTACAACAATATCATTGTATTTTTGTGTAAAAAAAAAAAAAAAAAAAAAATGTCAAATAATTACTTTTGAATAATTCGACAACACGATTATTCGATATTACCTCCATTCATAATTAAAAATATGTTCAATTGTCTAAAGAAATTATGATCCCGAAAAGTTTGCTTTCGATAGTTTTTCTTCTTGAATTTTTGTCTTTCCTTCTTTCTTTCTCCGAGTGAACACCCAGCTAAAAGTGGTTCACGTACAGAACACGAAAGGAGCATAAGCTAAAATTGAAGAGGAAACTTTCATAAGGCTCCAATTCAAAAGTTCGAGACGAGTCTTTCCTCTCGTCTTTACCAATGTTCTTAACTCCCTTCCTTCTACTTTTACTTCATCTTCTAAGTCTTTTTCTTTTTCTCTTCACGTTTCATTTGACTCTTAAAAAGATCCTTGACATCAAAGACTACTCGAAGCGAAATTGAAGAAAGTAATCTTTTGATAGACTTAAACGATGAATCGTCGCCTCCAAAAATTAAATAAAGTTTCAAAAAATAAAAAAATAGAACCTCATTACTGTTTTTGTTCTCTATACGTTTTTTTTTTTTTTTTTTTGATTCTTTATACGTGTTTCGTTAGAAATGAGAAATGCGATTTGATTTTTTTTTTTGTTCTTATTCTATATAGGTACACATATATATTTTTATAATTAATTTCTTAATAATTATATTTTACAAAATAAATAAAAAAATTATTTCTTTTTTTCTCGATAAAATCAAAGACATATATATATGTATATATCATATTTATTTCTAAATAAAATATTTGCTTAAAGAATAATGTTTATTACGAAAATGAAAGTTGTCGAATAAGTACGATCAAACTTTCGTAATAGACTTTGAAGTTACGTGACGAGGATTTATGACGAAAAGTTTGAATAGTTTCCTGTATAAGTATGAAACTGCTTTTGCTAATTACTACCAGGAATGTATGCAATATTTTTTATATGACAAAAAATAAACCTTGACATTCGAAAATGATTGTTCGTAATATTAAAACAAAAAAGTTTCATTATGAAAGATTAATATATCTTGACGTTTTATAACTCCTTTAGTTAAAGTGTAATAGTCGAATAGAATTGTCATGTCTCGATAGAAAAAATTTAACAAACGTAACCAAAAAAAAAGAAAAAAAAAAAAAACGAAAAATTGGTTATCAATAAAACTCAATTAACGAAAAAGTGCATTAAAATTTGACTAGTTGCATGCGAATAAAGTTTTAACAGTCGGTCGTGTACGTGCGTATTCATATGTTTTCACAGGTAATATTTCACGAGTACCTATACAAAATATTCAATGAATACTAGCTCGATATATGTATGCTTTATAAAATAATATTGACGAAATAATAAAAAAAAAAAATATTTGAATTAATCGAAATACAAATAGAAAATGAAAATCATATCGAAAAGATCAAAACGACTTTCATCTTTGCTCAAGTTATTTAATAGAATGGTATTAAATTTGATAATTAAGAATTAATAAACGGTACAACAAATCATATTTTCAATGACCAATACAGTTCTTATTGTTTCTCTTTCTTTCTCTCTTTCTCTCTCTCTCTCTCTCTTTCCTTCTTCATGTTTCGTTTAACACGAAAAGTATTTTTCCACCAGTAACTTTTATCACCCCAAGCAAAACCAACAATGGGGAGACAAATGTACTGACAAAACTTTCATCGGTTCTACAGTAGAGAATTGTTTTGTTTTTCCTATTTTTTTTTTTTTTTTTTTTTTTTTTTTTTTTTTTTTTTATTATACTCTGTGTATCCCCAAAGCGGTAGCGAAAGAGACGTGAAAGTTCGTATCGAACGCGATGTCGATTTTGAACACGCATATGGTAGATAACTTTTTGAAAAATTATCTCTCGTCTACAAGCTGTTCGTTCGTTGGTGTGAAACTTTTTGCTCGAAATAAAATTGCAACTGCAAAGTTTTTTAAAAACGAAAATTAAGAAAACTTATAAGTCATACATTTACAAATTTTTCACGATAAAATTGAAATCTTTCGAAATAAGAAAAAAAAAAGAAAGAAAAAAAGAAAAAATAAATAAATCAAGTAGAATTCTCATTATCGGAAAAAAAGTTTTCTAACATAAACACACACACACACACACACGCGAGGTTACCCATGCGCTTCCCACGTACGAGCAAATTTCCCTGAAAATCGGCTGCAATTCAATTCGCTTGTACGTCGGCCACATGCAAAACTAGATTTACAATATGTGCGTTACTATGAAACACTGCGAATAGAAAACTATTGAAAAAAAAAAAAGACCAAAAAATCTAGTCTAACGATAGAGTGAATAATATAATAAAGAAAAAAGAGAAAGGCATAAAAAAAAAAAAAGATAAATCGAACATTTTTACATGTACAGAATTGAATTGTTTCATTTTCATAATCGAATAACAGACCAAAAATTATTACTAATGTTTTTTACATTAGTAGTTTTTAATCCAAGTCTTATTTAACTAACTATGAATAATAAAGCGTAAAACCAATTTTTACAAAATTCCTTTTAAAATATTTCAGTTGCTGGAGCATCCGCAGAGTCGATGCAGGATAAAAAGGATTCCATTTTTTACGTTAACGTACAAAGGATTACAAGTAAATCGTCACGTTCCGTCTTGCCATCATCTTCACCGATGTCTTCGTTTTCGACATCGTTCTCATCGTCATCCGAAAGGACTCTTCAAAGGATTTTTCAAACGACACCCTGGAGCAACGTCGATAATTTTCGAACATTTGGATTGGTTCATGGATCCTCGAGGATGATGCAGAAGGAAAATTCGGAAAAGACACAAACGACTATCCGAAATTATCTTTCGAACGAGTCGAGCTCGTTTTCGTTCTTTAGAAATCATCTTGAGCATTCTACTTTTACCGAACCATCCAAAAATTTCAACATTTCCACAATGTCAACGGAAGGAACGTCAAACGTTTCGATAAATGTTTCAGTCAATTCTACGATGATTAATGTAAGTAAACTTTTTACATTTTAATGCAACGTAATAAATTAATATTAAATGTATGAGAGAAACGGCGAGGTTAATTGATTTATTAAATATTTATTAAAAGATAATAGTTTTTTATTTGAATATGAAGATATTTGTATACATCTGTTGAATTAATTGTTAGATAATAATAAATGATATTGAAAAATTGTTTTAATATTTTCGAGAATATCGTGCACAATCGTATTTTATAAATAATATCATTTCTTTTAACTAATTTATTATAATATTATGACATTCGAGGTTGAAATAAATTTTGCAATATAAATATTAATAGTCTTCTCGTTTAATTAATTATACAAAGGACGAAAATAAGAATTAATGATCGATGAGAGAATAAATGGTAAAGTTTCAATTCATTCGAGTCGAGAGTTCGCAAAGAAAATTTTGCCATTTCCATAAAACGTTCAAATGCTATTGAAAAATCAAATAGTTGAAGAAGTTCTTGAAAGTCGATATCGAGTGTACTATACTCGTAAATCTAAAAACCCTTATCGATTGACTTATATTTGTGTAAATAAAACTACATATATGTAAACTATTGAAGTAGTTTAGCTACACGTGTGCCGTAGGCTATTCTTTATTGTTTCTCAACTAGATCAAAAAATGAAAAAATAGTATTGAAGAAAAGAAAACTAGACACGACTCTTTCTAAATTTAATCGTGGTTGTGTAAGATTCTTGTACGATGTTGAAAATATTTCAAAAAAGTAAAATGTTAATTTTAAAGATCTCGAGAAAACTCTAACATCTGCGATTAAACCAATCACTTGACAATATACAATAGATATTATATAGTATATATGCATATATACAATAATATATATATATATACATAACATTGTATATCCTGATACACCTGAGGCTTGACAATTTCGAGCCGTATCTATTAGCAATAAGGCAAACTCATGACAATATCTATAATTTAACACTATCGATATACCTACCTATCGCCCACAGCTTCCTCCCATTGAAGTTTAATTAATGACCTGACATTTGTATATTTGTAGATTGCAAGTTTATCTATACGATAGATTTTACGTAATTTAATGGTAAAAGCACACTGGTGGACTCTCGATTTTTGATTAATTATGAAAGACACTGTTCAAAGCACTAACCAATATAGTAATCGAGTCAATTAATAAATTAGTTGATTAATACAAATGTAAAGTAAACTTATTTTATAAATTCTAAGTACATAATTCCTCTTTATATTAAATCAAAATTATTTACCAACAAATTGTCTTCTTTCTTTTTTTCATTTCTACAGACAGTCCTAACTACAGAGAGTCCAAGAGTATCAGCAAAAGTATCCTTCAGGACAACAAGCACGCCAATGTTATCATCGTCGAAGGATGACACATTTCGACGTCGTAAAATGAGAAACGCTGCTGACAATTGCGAAAAATTCTTAATCGGCGATGAAACTAAAAGAGAATTCTACAGTCCAAATTATCCTAATTATTATCAAAATCATACGGAATGTATACGAGTTCTCGAAGGTAAGTTGAACTAAACAAATAAAATAACCCCCTCTTTCTCCAAAAAAAAAAAAGAAAAAAACAAGAAATGAAAAGGAAAGAAAAGAAAGTTAAACTTTGGAGAAAAAAAAAAAGTAATATTATTATTCTCGAAGAAGTTGCATTAAATAAGAAATTAAAGAAAATTCTATCCCGGTTCCCTATTTTCGATTACGTAACTTGTTTGAAATGTTAAAAGTTTCTAAAGACAATCGAGAGTGGAGAAGTATCATCTACATAAAAACATAGTAGGAAAATCGTTTTACGATTCGCTTTCTATGCGATTGCGTTCAGTCGAGCAAGCGGACTATCTCGATTTCAGTTTAGTACCGTGCTAGCTACCGAAGGAACATCGATAATGTGCTAAAAAAGGAACAAACGTGTTCAAAAGACAAACTTACTCTTACCCTCTCTCGTCAAGGAACGATGCTTTGATCTTACATTTCTTCGAATCTTCGTATACTCTTTTATGTTGTATACTTTGAAAATAACTTTACCGAAAGTTGAAAGATTCCTAAGAATCAGACTGCTATTTTTTATTTGATCTTTTATTATAAGACTAATCGTGTTTAAAGCAAACGTAGGAATTTATAAAATGTAAATTAGAGCAAAGGTACTTGATCTTTTGCCTTTGCGAGATACACATTTGCGCTGGTTGAGAAAACAATTATTTTAAAAATTGATAAGACAAAATATGAGGACGAACGAAATTCATAGGAGGTGGAAAACAATAGGCGTATTTAAACATTCATCTAATCTTTATGATGTTTGGTATTGTTTAAAGATCCTTAATGTAAAGAGGATTATGTGGTGGGGTTCAATTATACACGTCAATCAAGTTTGACTAGTAAAAAAAAAAGATAAATTCATGACTGGATGTTTTGAGTTTAGCGGATACCACGAGTTAAGTATGGCTGAATTAAAGGAACTAATTTAATCAAGCAACTTTGTTATTCATGACACGAGTGACAAGTGATTAGTAATCAAACTTTGGAATTAGCTTATACTAAAATAATGCCTTTCATCTCTGCTGCAAATTCTCTATCCTTATCTCTATTTATCTCTTTAATGATCGTCAAACATCCAAGGAACGCTTCATATTTGTCTTATATTTGATATCCAAATAAACTGCTAAAGATCTTCATGTTCATATGGTATTTTAAAGAATGAATAAGACGATAAAGAAAACTGTCATTTTTCTTTTTATCGTTGTGCTTTTAAAGAAATAACGAGCGTGAAGTAAAATATTGTTACAAATCGTTTAACGTTCTCCAGTTTAGCTGTTAATCATTCGTGCAACGGTAAAACACAAATTCAACGTAAACTCTGGATATTTCGAGCTCGACGTAACTTTGAAAAAAGAAAACCTATTCGGTGATTCATAGATGCGTATATACACGAGCGTACGACGACGTTTCAATAAATTGTCTTCGTTTGAAATTTTTATACGACCCACTCACAAATTCCATGCATATTTCAAACATTTTGTTCTAATTTATCATTTTCAAATGTTCGAATTTATAAAATATAAAAATAAAAGAGAGATCATTTATACTTGCCCTTTCATTGAAATAGATTACTACCCTTACGTTCGTTATCGTGACAAATTCTTCGTTTCTAGTTATTCTTGAAGAAAAAAAAAAGTATAAAATTTTTCAGTAGACTCAGTGAAATCATAAATCATTGTAACGTTCGATTCCGTACGGTCCGTACGATCGAGACAGTGTGAATGTTCCGATAACAAAGCGATTTATCGAAAAACTATAGACGACACTATTATATATTGTCGAACAAGAAATATCTTCCTTTTTTGTTTTTTTTTTTTTTTTTTTTTTACTCGAAAGATAATTATTCTACTAACTGATTGTGGAAAAAATCTAACCTCGTTAACTACAATTTCAATTATCTAAATATAAAACTCACGGTCGAATTACTAAATATTTAATTTTTCATATGAATAATTAAATAAATATAAAAACGTTATTATTAACGATANGAGACAGTGTGAATGTTCCGATAACAAAGCGATTTATCGAAAAACTATAGACGACACTATTATATATTGTCGAACAAGAAATATCTTCCTTTTTTTTTTTTTTTTTTTTTTTTCATGAAATAAATGTCACACATGATCAAATAAAAAGCGGTCGATTTTTGTAAATAATTAAAATTATCTAAATATAAAACTCACGGTCGAATTACTAAATATTTAATTTTTCATATGAATAATTAAATAAATATAAAAACGTTATTATTAACGATATTGATCATATTATATGATATATATTTATGTAAAAGATCATTTATTATTTCGAAGATTTTCATTGTTTCAATCTCAGTAGTTGATTCCCCTATGACTCGTAAATTTATGCTGGAACAAGAAAAAGATAGTTGGAAAGTTTCCTTTAAAGTTTCCTAATGTAGAGTTCGTAAGTCTTCGATATGAATTTAAGTGTCTCGTTCTCGAAAAATAGGTTTAAAGAGAAAATTTCGATTCGCAAAGTTAAATCGGTATTTTATCTTCTCGAAGCAGCGAGAGCCGTATGAAAAAAGAAATGAAAAGAAAAAGAAGAAAAGAAACGAAACAATAAAAAAAAAAAATAAAAGTAGCAAAAGAAGAAGAAGAAGAAGAAGAAGAAGAAGAGAGTTAATATAAAAAGAAAGTAAAAAAGAAAGAGACATGGTTCTTGTTTTCTGTATCTTTCGATAAAAAAAAAACTTTAGCCCATGTTGAAAAAGTATAGGAAAGAAGCTATGGTTAAGTTCCTTATTTTCCTCACAAAATTAAATGATAATAACGACGAGGAGGAGAAAATTCTCGAGAATATAATTACCCTATATATCTTTTTATATCTCTTCTTCAAAATTACATTCATTAAGAATATCTTTCTATCTTTTTTTTATATATATATATTTTTCTTCATTTTTGTTTTTCTGCTTCATTTTCGAATTAGTAGATTTACCAAGAGACATCACAGCAGATTTGAGAAAATCTCATTAGTCGTAGTGATATTTTGGAAACCGTTACACGAAGCTCAAGATGCACCAGATCGAGCTTGTACGAGGGCATCTAGATCTCGTTCGAATTTGAGTCAGGGTCGAGAAGTCTTGTACGAGTTTTCTCTCCCCCTTCCCTTCCCTTCCCTTCCCTTCCCTTCCCCCCCTCTTCTCCCTCTCTCTCTCTCTCTAATTCTCTTTCAAAATGCACGAAATCTTCTGACTACGAAAATAGTAACGCTGATGCTTAAGAATCTCGATCGAATGTAGCTGATGGTAAGCTGCTTTTGCTACCTTGTGCACCTTATAAATATCGTCACGTATATTCATTAAATTCCAGCTTGCTCTCAAATGATTATTTAGAAGATACATAAATAATACAAAAAATGCTTTATAAATTAAGAATTTCTATTGATATATTATATATATTATTTTAATAATTGTAATGTACATTCAATAATGTGTATCTTTTAAAAATACTAATAATAAAAATATCGACGATGACAATCATAAAATATGATTTCATTTTGTAAATATATCATTATTATTAAATGACATTAGCGTTGCATTAATTAATAATAATATTGCATAATTACGTTATCCTTTTACTTCGTTACTTCATATTTCATCTTAAATAATAATTTAATTAATTCGAAGAAAAAGATTGTATTTTTTTAATTAAAACAAACTCGCCTTAGAAAACTAAACTGTCATATTTTCGTTGCAAATATTTTTATTGAAAAAAAAAATAATAATAATAATAATAATAATAATCTACTCTTAGAAAGCAAATATGTAAATAATAAAAAAAAAAAAAATCAGTTATCAATGAACGACAAGTCTTTAACACGTAGTATATATTTATCATAACTCGTTTATTTCGTTTATTTCTTTTATTTTTCTATATAACGACGAACGGCTACCGGCGTAAACTCGATTTTCTTGCAATTTGTCGGATTCGGATTTTAATTTGATTCCCTTGCAGCAGCAAAGCGTACCAATTCAGGGCGCATTCGCATACGCGAACAGGCTTTTAATGACGGTTCCGATAATAGAAGTCTTCAAAGAGCTCCAATGAAAACGATGTATCGCATTATCAGTTCGCGTATAATCGCGAGGCTTATTTTTTTTTTTTTTTTTTGTTAAATTTTCTTCTTTTTTTTTTTTTAATCTATCTATCCAGTGCATTCAATGCCATTAAGCTAGGCTTAATATTCTGTTCTCTTTGGCATACTTGTTCGTTAGTTGTTAATCGAACATACGTGCTCTTAACGAGCATTTTTTTTTTTTTTGCAATCAGGCGATAATTCAAAGAACGAAAAAAAAGAGAAAAGGAAGATATTAGAATGAAAGACAAGGAGATTAGAAAAGAATGGAGAAAGAGCAAAAAATGGAACAAGAGGAGAATGAAAAAAGAGATGAAAAAAAAAAAAATAAAAAGAAATAAGAGAATGAGAATAGAACGAGTGGGCAGAGTGCCATCATCCATTGCACCTTAACATTGCCTCACCTTTTTCTTTTTTTTAGGCAACATCGTGTGGATTTTATTCGACTTCAACTACATTAGGCATCAACGTTCCCCAAATACTTTTATTGCCACGATAATGTTTACGCATTATCACGTGAAATTTATAACATATTTTTCATCACATACAAATAATTAAGAAAATCTATTTATTATTTTTATCAAATGCAATTAGAGTTTCATATTGACCGATTTGATTGACAAACAAAACTATACATGCATTTATGATTCAATATGAACAAAATATTAATCAAAATTACGACGAGCATATGTTTTCAGTGATACTGATAGCATAAGATTAATAGGAGAAAGTATGAGAAAGAAAAATGACAAATTTTGAAGAAAGAGAATAAGTCATTGTCAGTTAAAGTTCCAACAAACACGATAGTACATAGGCTTGATGCCATAAGTGGCTTTGTTAAGATAACTCGTTTGTCAGAGGACAATGGCGGCCATTGCG